GTTAACCCTAACCTGGTAACGGTTAGGGTTAACCCTAACCTGGTAACGGTTAGGTTAGGGTTAACCCTAACCTAACCGTTACCAAATAACTTTGAGCCTCAGTCAGAAAAAAAACTRGAGGGTTTTTATATTTTAGGCCAGACAGAAGGAGAAAAACAAACGGTGGATTTAGGTGCTCCCTAGGGTTGGGCAATATTAGAAAAAATATTAATCATGATTAATTGTGGGCGGAGCTTCACCTGGGGTTGCCTCGTGAGGAGCAGGACTCTGGTTTAGGTTGCTAGGTGACTGTTATTGTGACGTCAGAATAACGTGCTTTGAGAAAGACCATCATGTTTCCAGATACCTAAAGATACATGTCATTACAGGTAAAACAAACGGCTGGCTGCATTTATTTGGTGTTTGGACTGTTTCTCTAAGCAGTAGAGACCCCAAAACAAGTTTRAAAACATGAAAAAAGTGAGTTTTACATGATAGGCCCACTTTAAATAAATTTGAAAGTTTTTGGAGACAAATAAAAAAGGTCCGGTCACTACAGTGCTGATCTGCCCACAGCTGAGCCGTGTAAACAATACTGGAGATAATATTGAGTTAGATGAATAAATTAATGCTTTTAAAAATATAAATTTTCATCCAGGATGTACTCCACCCCAGTTCAGCTGCAGGCAGATCAGCATTGTAGTGACTTCTTTTTATTTCTCTGCAGAAACTCAGTTTTAAATTTATTTAACATGTCAGAGCCTGTAAGGCATTAAAAACAATTAATAACATAAATATCACTCTGTGACTGCTGGATATRGGCACAAGTGACCCTGAAAGGAAGAAACAGGTATAGATAATGTAAATATCCATTAACAAGCCACTCTGCTTCTAATTTAGCTGCAGACAGCAGTCTGCCTGCATCAACTCTGTTACATCCAGAAGGGAAACTTCACCAAAGTGAAACATAAATCTGTGGATCTGTGTTTGATTACTCTGCCTGGCTTTCTCAAGGACCAGGATGTGACACAAAAATCTGAATTATGGAACTGAAAGTGAAAGTAGTCAAACTGAATTTTTAAAGGCACAGTGTGTAGGATTTTATCAAGTCTTTTAGCAGAAATTGAGATAATCACTAATG